AACAAAAATCTGATGGTCATCTGAAGGAAGCGATAGATGCCTACCAAAATGCAATTAAAGAATTTAAGGCTCATGGATTCTCCCTATTACATGACGTAAAAGGGCACCTAGCCGAGGCTTATTTGGAATGTGGTGACATCTACAAGTGTTTAGGAGAAATGGATAATGCTAATACTTGCTATAAAGAAGCTCAAAAGTATGGGCCGAAATACAGTGAAGCATTGACAAAATCTTCAGCATCAACAAAACCCTTGCAAACAGAAAACGTACCTATAAAAAACCCATCTACTGATTCAATAGTATTAACGATCTCCTTGATAAAGAAAACGAATTTACCAAAACTAGAGTTTTTTATCCAAGACCCTTTAGTAACATCCTCACCACAGTCAAAGATAAATGACATAAATAATATTAGTAGCACTCAGGATTTGGCCTATTATCTGCAACCTAATAATCATACTCAGGAACAAACGCCACAACTAATAAGATTAGCCCTAGAGACTATCGAACTATTCGCTCAGAGAAAAATTAAAACGGAAGAGATGATTTATGAAATCGTCGTCTTGGCATCTATTCCAAATAAAGAAATTTATAAAGAATTGTTAGAATTAAGTATCCGGGAAATAAAAAATTCAACATTCCAACATTCCAAACATTTGATTTGCTTAACTCAAGTAATTCAAAACATGCCCAACTCTCTCCTGATTACCGGGGAGGTTAGCACGGGAAATTTGGTAATGATGTTAAGAATCTTACATTCCCATATAGAAGATCTGCACAAACAAGACAATGAGACCGAGCTCAGCGAATTATTACAAACACTCTGTCCATTATTAGATGCCATGGTGCGGGTAGGCGTTAAAGGTATCGATCGTGAGAAGCTGCATGCGCCATTATATCAACAGCTTAAAGAGCTAGAAGAACTAAAAGAGTCAAAAGAGAATTCAGTGTTAGCTTACCATGCTCGCTACGCCTGCCAGGCATTGTTGTACATCCCAAGTGACGAAAAATTATGGCAAGAAGTTATGCGTCGAACTTTTAAAATTGCTAATGGGACTATTAGTTTGGTTAATGCGGTTAGAAGTTTAGACCCAAATAAATTACTTGATACCTTTAAAGATTTTAGGAAAGCATTTGAAGGTTTTGATGAGGTTGTAAGTCGCATTCGAGAATTAGTCGAGACGATAAAAACAGTAAGAGAAGGAGCAGAAGAAATTAGTCAAGGAGTAGAGTTTGAACAGACAAGGCAATGGTATTTGGCTCTACGATTTATAGACATTTTTATTCAAGAAAATCAGTTGAATAAACTCGAGCAGTTTGTTCGTCAGAGTTCCTATAATAAGAACAAATGGTTTTTGATAGGCTTATGTCAACGCTTAGAACAGATTGCCTGCACACAACGGGATTTGAAGATTCAACAAGGTGCTGTTAAATTTTTAGATGATCTTTATCAACAACATCCAGAAGTAAAAAATTATGCAAAAGCAATGATTGATAAAGCGGTATCTGCCAAAAATATATCCAATTATTCCATATACGGGAAGTCCGAATTGTTAATTGAGGCTCGTCTTAAACTATCGCGGAATTTAGCGTCAAATGATGCAGAGCCACTGGCGCAGTTAGGAAAAATTAAAAACGAATATTTATACGAACTCGAAGAAGACGAAGAGATCAAAAACGCATTAGGTTTATATGTGCCACCAAAGGGAAAGTGGTCCTTAAATTCTACGAGCTCTTTTGATTTAAAGGTCGAGGTTGACGCTTTCTTAACATCTAAAAAAAAGGTTCTGATGCTCCTAGGTGAAGCTGGAGCGGGAAAGTCTACTTTTAACCGTCATCTCGCTCAATGTCTATGGAAGGATTATTCATCAAAAGACGAGTTATATAAATTTATTCCTTTATTTATTTCACTTCCAACTATATATAATCCTAATGAGGAAATCATTCAAAAATATTTAAGAAAGTTAAGATTTTCTGAGGAAATTATCGAAAAACTGAGACAAAACTGCAAATTCGTGTTTATATTTGATGGATATGATGAGATCAAGGACCGCCAATCAAATTTTTATGATAAAAATCAACTTCGTGAGTGGAAGGGTGCAAAAATTATTATTAGCTGTCGACCGGAATATCTAAATTCAAATTATAAATTCAAATTTCTACCTCGTGGAAATCCTAATTCCTTACAAGAAATGTGGCTAGCACCTTTTTCTAAAGACGATATTCGAAAATATATTGAAAAGTACGTCGAAAATCAAAAGGATAAGAACATAATGTGGGATGCGCAAAAATATGAAGCCGTTCTAAATCGTATTCCTGATTCAGATCAGCTATTGAGTAATCCCTTTATCTTAAAGATTGCTATTCAAGCCATGCCATATTTAGAGAGTGAGAGCTCGGAAAAATTTATAACACGTTTGATCTTATATAATAAGTTTGTAGAGAAATGGTTCGAGCGATCTAATGAACGTTTAGAACACATCCAATTAGACGATGAAGAAGATAAAGCCAAAAGCGTATTATATAAGAGAGATTTTATGAAACGTTGCATAGAATTTAACGAGAATTTGGCGGTCGAAATATTTAAGGCTAAGGAAGTAGTAATAACGTATTTAGACGCAGATAATAATACTGATTGGCGTGTTAACTTCTTTGGAGAAAAAGATCCGGAGATACGAATTTTACGTTACAACTCTCCTTTAAGTCGTAATGGTGACCAATATCGATTTATTCACAAATCTTTATTCGAATATTTTGTTGCGCGATCGATTTTTGAAGATATTTGCAAAAAAGCTAGATCCACACTATTTGAAGAAATTTTAATACTAGATGATCCCGGAGTTATTCGCTTTCTAACTGAGTATTTGCAACAGAAAGGGAGTCCGAAAGATATTCAACAAGTCGAAAAATTTAAAGCCAATATCTTTAACTTTATCGAGAAATCAAAAAAAGACATCAATTTCGAAATCGCCGCAGCAAATGCGATCACAATTTTAAATAAAGCCGGGATGAATTTTAGTGGAAAGAATCTAAATGGCATTCATATCGCCGGTGCAGATTTAAGTTATGGTTTGTTTCATTGTACTCAATTTAAACAAGCAAATTTAATTAATGTTAATTTCAAGGGGGCATGGTTACAATATGCAAATTTTAGTGAAGCTTATATGACAGGCGTGCAATTCGATAATTTCCTTTTTTAGATCTTAAGTTCTGGCATAATTGCTGCTGCTATTACCCAGATGGACGTTTCCTTGCCGTTGCTGGGGGGTGGGAAGTTCACATTTACAGTGTCAAAACGTTAGAAAAGACGCATACGTTCGAAGGACATACTGGTCTCGTTTGGAGTGTGACCTTCTCACCTGATGGCACCCAAATGGCATCGTGCAGCTTCGACAAGACGGTGCGTCTGTGGTCGATCGAGAATTTAGATCTGAATTCACGCATTCTAGAAGGACATACTGGTTATATTAGAAGCGTGACCTTCTCACCTGATGGCACTCAACTGGCATCGTGCAGCGATGACAGGACAGTGCGTCTGTGGTCGATCGAGAATTTAGATCTGAATCCACGCATTCTAGAAGGACATACAAATATCGTTTGGAGTGTGACCTTTTCACCTGATGGCACCCAACTGGCATCGTGCAGCGAAGACAAGACGGTGCGTCTGTGGTCGATCGAGAATTTAGATTTGAATTCACGCATACTAGAAGGACATACTGATTCGGTTAGAAGTGTGACCTTTTCACCTGATGGCACTCAACTGGCATCGTGCAGCGATGACGAGACAGTGCGTCTGTGGTCAATCGAGAATTTAGATTTGAATTCACTAATTATAGGACATACTGATTCGGTTAGAAGTGTAACCTTTTCACCTGATGGCACCCAACTGGCATCGTGCAGCAATGACAAGACGGTGCGGCTGTGGTTTACGGTATTTGGTAACTGCGTAGCTATTATATACTTTCCTGGAGCAGTAAATAGTCTTGATTGGAAGAAGACAAAAGCGGGTGACCTTTTGTTAACCGGTGGTACGGATAAAATTATTCGTTTGTGGCATGTAAAAAGAATAGATGATCAAAAGTCGCAAGTCACTTTACATTGGACTTCACGTCAAAATATGTTATGGATTTCTAAAGCATATATTGAAAACGTGAAAGGCTTGGATTCAACGAATATACGCCTTTTAAAGCAAAGAGGTGCCACTGAAGACTCGGAAGTTTAACAAAAACGATCAAGCTTAAGTCGAAAGTATTATCAGTCTTGATATCCTAACTAGCGCTTTGTTTGTATTATTAAATTTATTATAAATAAATAAAAATTTATAATTATTATTCATATAAACCATCACTTAATAAGAATGATTTAAATGTAATCACGTAATTAGACGGGTTAATGTATTAAGTATTGGATAACATAATAGAGTTTCGCAAAAATATTACGTTGATCACTTTACTTCCCTCCCCGCTTTATTCCCTTTTGCCCCTTTATTTGCCCTTTATATGGTCCTTTGATAAATGCAGCAGATCGTTTACTTTATTACCACAATGACATTTTAATTTATGTTTATGATACTCACTCACTATATAGATAACGAGAAAGCAAACGAACAAATTTTTAAATTTTTTACAGGTGGAAAATCGGGCATTTTATTTACTGTATTTGGAGAAATTTAAATCTTTAGCGAGGGAAGGATACTTTATAATAGCCAACCAAACAAATAAATCCATAAACCACAAAACAAAATATTATCTTAAATTATGATGGGTCTATCATAAAATAATACAATAACGATTAAATTGGTTATCGATTCCGCTAGGAGAAAGGGAAAAGATTCCCCTTCCTTTTTATGTGATTTGGTTGGATCTGGAAACGCATTAGTTCGTTGTTTACTTTCAAAATTTGCGTATTAACGCGATCTCAAATAAGAAAATAAACAAAATATTGGTTTGACATTTTGATTTATAATTAATTCACGTAATACGTAGTACACAGTACTGTAATCACATTTTCTTGTGGCGATTGAGCTCTAGTTTTGGAGCATTGGCGGTTGGGTGCAAGGGCCACTCGTTCCGCTGCGAGAATACCGTTAGTCGTCTTCTGAATACACCACCTCCCAAAAAGAACGCAGTACCTGATCGGTGATCTTTAAATGTAAAAATTTTAAGTAGGTTAAATCAGATTATAATGAAAATTTATAATATAGATAGAATATAAATAATGTAAAAGTTAAAATAGATATTAAATCAATAAAAAAAAATTTACTGTTAGGAATTTTTTTAAAAAATAAAAAATTTTATTTGTTTATAAAAAATATATATTGTTAATGGGGAAATTGCTTAGATGTGACCCAGTGACATGACATTCACATAATGCACCTAATTGAATCAATGAAAATATTCTAGTAAATAGTATAATGATGTAGTAAAAAGCCTAAATGGTTTATTTTTATAGTGTGATAGTTTATGAGTTATAGCAAAATAGTTTTATAGCACATTAGTTAGTAATAGCAATAAACATATAAATAGAAGTAAGAAAGTGCAAAACAGGAGGAGAGGCAATTTTAATCTTAATTAAAAAATTTAATTAAAATTTGTTATATGTGGTGATAATAAATGTGTCCAAAATAAGAAGTAATCAATAGACTTACCTTTTTAAAATAACATTATCATGAGGAGATCATTTTGAAAGTTACCAAAAAGGATAATGACTTGAACATTCAGAGAAGATGACAAGTAAAAGAAGAGGATTAATTATAGTTTCAAGATCAGCTAAGTCAAATCCATATCTCAAGTAGAAAAAAGAAGAATAGCCTATCCTGATATTACATGAGTTTGACCTGTCACAAGCAACAGACTCACCATTCCCATATTAACAATATGTATAATTATACTAATATATTTGATTTCTATTATTATTTTGTATAGCAATCTTTTGTTTTAATAATATTATTAATTCTTTTAGGTATTATTTTTATATATTATTTATTAGTTTTTCAGATGCTTCATTTCAAATCTTTAATAAATTATTTCAAAATTTTTTTATCATTAATATCTATTTTTAGATTATTAACACTTCTTTTTATATTATTTCAAATATTTTTTATTAAATTTAAATTTAGAGATTTTGATAGTTAAGAAATGGTTCTAATTTTATTATTTTTTAACTATTGTAAAAGAATATTTGTATCATCTTATGAACTGTTATCATGATAATTCTAAATCTCTAAAATCTAAGATATCTTTATTATAGTTGATTTATTTCTTATATGTCTTTTCTTGATTATAGATATTATAGCAGTTATAGCAATTATAGTAGAAATAGTTAGAATATTTAGAATAGTTAAAATAGTTGTTATAGTTGTTATAATTTTACTATAATAAGAGTATTGTTATCAGTATATAGCGAGTCTATTGCTGCTTCGAATTAGATCATTATGTAATGAAAGGTATGTAGGGGCTTGTATTGCTTGCTAACTAGAGGCACTTATTAATAAACTCCCTTCTCTTTTATTACCAGTCTGATTCTTTACCACAATCTTTTATAGGCTTCTAAAATTTCTACAGTGGCTAATAACCAATTAAGATAAGTTTATTAATTATACTGGTGCAAATACAATAGGTACAAGTTTATATAATATGAATATTAACTCTCTATTTCAGCTATTTAATTCACCCATATTTATACCTACTGTGACATATTGTTGTAAGTAAAAAGTAGGCATAGTAACGTGACATGCCATCGCGTCACATAATTAGAGTGTTATGAGATCGATGGTGGGAAAAGCTAGAGGTGGATAAGTTAAGGTATAGGAAAGTTTATTGGTGGAAATTTCTAAAGTAGTGTAGAATAGCGATCAGACGTAAACATGTAAATAACAGGTGCATATATAAATACATGTGCTATTCAGTAGCATGTGAGGAGGGAAGTGGAGTTGAGAGTTAAAACACATTAAGTAATAAACAATAAAGTAACATTTAATGGATAAACTCTTACCTTATGTTTAGTGTACCAAAGTAGACTTGTAACTTGTGCTATGTGACTACAAGAAGGAACTGAGGCTTGCCTAAGAGAATTGGCATTGGAAGGGTTCTAGGCTAGTTGGTAGAGAAGTTAAAGTGAGAAAACATCCAAATCAGAAACATGCCTCAAGAGCTAGAAACTTACCTTATTGTGAACAGAAGCGTCAACCAATGGTGTGGGCTGGACGGTTAGCCCGTAACAATATATATTTATATACTGTCACATCCTGCAAATTCCCAATTGGACTATTTAGTGCAGGATCCGATGGATCACACCATATAATATAACTAATACCAATCCTAGTGACCTATACATTTTTCCCTGCTAACAATATCTTAAATACTTAATCAAATTACTTAAATTGCTTATATTTTTTTGATTACTTAGATTGCTTTGGTTACTTAAATTACTCTGACCATTCAAATTGCTTTAGTTTACTAGGCTGATTTAGTATATCAGTCATATCCTATAATAAATATCATTTACATAATATACTATATATGATATACAGTTCTCCCAATAAATGAAGAACTATTTAAGAATTATTATAATTATATAAAAATAGTTATCTTATATTAAACTTTTTATTTTATTAATAAAACAACTTTTATATATTAAGTAAACCTGTTCTTCATAATTAATTCTATATATAATTAAATTTTTATTAAATAATAACAAACTTTTATTATTATGTTTAGCAATTTTTTTCTGAACAAAAGTTTTTTAATTTTTTTGCTAAAATTTTGACACTTATACGATTTTTATAATTTCTATTTTAATAAGTAATTTTATATTAATAAATTTTGTTTGGCATATGTTAAAGTATTTAAATATTAAGTTTTATAAATTTTTACCTGGCATTTATAAAATATAAAAAAAATTATTTTAATAAAAATTATAAAATCCAATATTAAATATTTATTAATATTTAATAAAAACTTTACAGTATAGATATTTTATATTAAATAATAACTTTACTTAGTGTATAAAAGTAAGTTTTATAATAATAAAAAATTTTTATATATAACTACTATTAGTAATTAATTAAATTAATTTATAATCACCATGAAATTTTTTCAAATTCAATAGGAAGATATTTAATTAAATAATTTGTTAAACCTTAGAAGAACTATCCAAATATTGATGGAAGAAAGAAATCAAACAGCATATCTATAAATAAGTAATCCTGAGGAAATTTGAATACTTTTTATTTATATCTTTTCTAAACAGCAGCCTGCTTAACTCAATTTAAACAAGAATCATTAAACTCATCAAAACCATATACAAAATTTTATCCAAATGTCTCAACTCCATAATAATCAGTCATTATAGCCTAAATATATCATTTCTCGAAGAAAAACAAAGATATAGTCTTATCAATAATCTAATAATCAAATTAGCTACACCTTTTATCAAAAAATACATAATACAAACTATTAAATCTATTCTGGTTCTGTCCAATTTGTGATCCAGACAAATTTAACCAAGACAACTGGATACCATATGTGGCCAAAGCTGCAAAGAATCTAAAAATCCAGATCTGTTCTTCAAACTGTTTCTTTCATCTTAAAAATGTCCACAACAGTATTGATCTCCTCTTCAAAAACATGTTATCTCAACTTAGAAAATCAGCAATAAAAATATCAAATGTTTTCAATATAAAATTTATCATATAACTCTTACAATTCAACAGTTTCTTCAAACTTTTCTGGTCACAAATCATCTTCTACACTGGTATTGCATTATATAATCCAAAACCAAGTTAATTCAAAAACTTCATTAATAATAACAATTTCTTGAGATTCTATAGGTCTATTCCAAATTTAAAACCATTTTTTTAATTTATCCACAATCTCAACTCTTTCATCAAAACATATAGAAAATGTTCAGATACATATGAGAATACATTTCTAAAAGGCAGACACTATACAATAGACTCTAGTAACAATCTCATCAAGTATCATGACTGTTTTTTAGGCTGACTTTCCAATTACGTCTGTTTATTAAACTTCTTTAATACTAATGCCTTTTCACTTTGAACAATTAACACAATATACTGATTTAAGTAAAGGAACATGTTGGTTATTAATAGTTTATCATTATTAAAAAAAAACTTTATTAATAGAGAGTGGATCAAACAACTCTAAAGATAATTAAAGAAAAAGTACAACCTTTAAATACATTTTTTTTTAAACTGCTAAGGCAAGACAATGCTCTAGTTTTATTAATATAGATAGTTTCTTACATATATGCTATGTCTATACTATATTAATTATATATTAACTAGGCCTACCCACAAGCCTAAACTATCCGGGTATAGTCTGCCACCCTGCTTGCTTACACAAGCATTACCTATCTCATTTCTTTTTTTTCTATCTTGATACTAATTTCATTTCTATCCATAATTACCATCTTCTTATTCATTACCCAAGAACAGCCTAGGTCTTCCTGCTTTTCTGGCTGCCTTTCCGGAGTAAGTAACTAGCAAGTCGACGAATTACTGGATTGGGAGAACTTTTCATGAAAGAGACGCCTTGATATCCATAGGAAACGATTATCAATTCTTTTTCATTCTTACTGAAACCAGTATCTATGCATTTCTTGCCGCTTCTGGTGATCGTCATATCACCAACCGGATGATCGTTATGCCATTATGCCTTTTTCTTGATAGTTACAATCTTATTGCTTGCATAATCGCATATGAATTGGCTTTGTATGAGAAACAACACTTGATAGGTTATGGTACTGAATACTATATTTTTATTCTATTCAACTGCCTTCACCTGGAGTTGAACCGGTATCTTGTGATCTAACCTGTGGAGCACTAACCACTGTGTTATAGACTCACAGGTCACAAAAAAAAAAACTTTCTGAAATATAAATTTTATCAATTTTACTATATATTTTATTATAAAAAATATTAAAAGTTAATAAAATATATTAATAAATTAATTAACTTTTTCTTATATATAATTTTTTTTCAAAATTAAAAAAATAAATATTTTTTCACCTTTTAATATCCAAAAGTTCTTCACACTTTCTTTTTCTTTATTACAAGAGTCTTAAAGAAATCAAAAAAGTATATTGCTATATTAAAATGAAATCTCTAGTTAGAAAAAAGCAAGTTTGAAGATTTTGCTTTTTCTTTGGATTATATAAGAAAAAGTTTATGACAATTACTTTTTTACAAATCTTTTTTGGGATTCTTTTCTTTTTTTTCTTCTTTCTAATATATAAACCTTTTTAAATAATTATATTTTCTGCTTGAAAAATTTTTTTTAATCAAAAAAATCAAAAATAATATTTATATTATTGACTTAAGGCATCAACAATATATTAATATTTACTCTTTACTATTGTTTAATATATTCTGTTATGTTACCAAAAGTCAAAAATTTTCATTTGAAAAATTATAATCAATTTACTTCTGTCAATTGATCGACATTTCAAATCCAACCAATCAAATATTACTAAATTTCAAAGCAATTCCATACAATTAAAACATCATACAATAATTGACATAAACAAATCCTATTTTGATAGTATCAATCAAAACAAAATTATATTATAAAAAAATAAATCAATAATATATTAACAATAATATTAATAACTATAAAAATAACACATAATTTAAATAATGTATTAATAATATTATTATTTACTTTGAACAATAGCCTGACTATTCCTGGAAGTAATATTTTACTTTAGTTAAATAAATCAACCAATATAACATATTTAATTCAAGATATCCTTTATGTAATAATTAGTCTTTTTTTCACTTTTTTTTCAATTATTACTAAATATCTAAATATAAACAATCATATCTTCATTATTATTAACAATAATTAAAACAAAATCACATTATTAATAACAATCAAAACAAAAACACATTATTAACAAACAAACTAATTACTAATTATATTACAATAACAACAATATCATTACTATAACTAATTATTTATTAAAGAAATATATCAGCAATACTATTGTATACTTTAAACAGTAGTCTAGCCATTTTTGAAAATGCAAATATCATATTTCAATTAAATGAAACTATCAGCATAACGTGTCTAATAATTTTATCTGAAACATTTATAATTTTACAATTAGTTTTTCTATATTTATTTCTTTATTTAGTATTTTTTTTTTTTCTTCAATTTTTCATTTCTTATAATTTTTTTATATATAGTATAAATCTGAGTAGATATTCATAGCTGCTTGGCACTATCTTAGATATGTAATGTTTTAATATTTATTTATTTTATCATTTAAATAGTTTATTTTTTTTTTCCCGTAGTCAAACAAGTACATACTGTTTATTGAATCTATACAGAAAACAAATAATATATAATACATTGTATTGCATAAACTATTCTACTGCCTTGAACACCCGTCTTTAACTAATGTCTCTAGGTGTGACTTT